CTGTGCTGCGGTAGCGCTCGGTCTCGAAGAGCCGCTCCGGCGCCACCAGCGGCGTGACATCCGCGTCGAGCCAGTGGGAGACCCCTTTTCTGCACGCCGATGTGCTCCTCCTCCTCATCCTCCTCCTCCTCCTCGTCCTCCTCCTCCTCCTCCTCCTCCTCCTCCTCCTCCTCCTCCTCCTCCTCCTCCGCCTCCTCCTCCTCCTCCTCCTCCTCCTCCACTCGCATGCCTCAGCCCCTCCCTAGCTCCTCCATTCCCTCCCTGGCCCCTCCCTCCATCCATCCCTCCCCTCCTCCATTGAATCCCGCGATTCCATGGTCCCCAGCGGTATTTCGGGAGGGACGGCAGCCCCAGGTTCGCGCTGGTGCTGGTGCCTGCAGCCTTGGCGGGCTGACAGCATCTCGCGACTCGGGGGGAAGGCCAAGGCGGCCCAGGAAATACTCGCCGAAAGACTTTCAGAGTCAACGCTCAGACACGACGTCACAGCGACTGGACACTGGCGCCAGCGCCGCCGCCTGTTCAGCGGCAACTGCAGCGGCAGCCACAGCAACATTCGAGCGGTGGAGCCCGCACAGCTGTCAACACAGCACTCCCCCCGATCCCGCCGTGGCTGGAGGTCGCCCTCCCCTCTCAGTAGGGCGGCTTCACTGTGGAGACCAAGGTCCCACGAGCACCAGCCGATTGCCAATCCAAAGTCCTCTGCCCTGCGACGCAGAAGAGGCCGCTGGCAAAGGCAAGGGCAAGCACCACAGCCACACGGGCAGAGTCGAGGGCAAGCACAAGGACACGAGCAGCGACCAGACTGCGAGCAGCGTCTCCGAGGCGGTGCGGGCGGCGTCCTCGCAGCCGCAGGGCAGGCACGAGAACGAGGGCGACAGCAAGAACGAGCACACGGACGCGAGCACCGACCCTCACACGCGCCGCGAAACCGCGGCGTCGACGCGGGCTGTTCCGCAGGCTGGACGCCTCCTTCGGGGAGGCGATCCGAGCGGAGAGCCGTCCAGCCGCGAGGCGGGAGCCGACGACGGCGGCACGCGGGTGCTCCGCGCCCGAGGCGGGCGGCGGCAGGGTACGCCCCGGGGCCCCGGGGGGGACAGAGAGGCGCCCCGCCGTCGGATGCCTCCCTCACCGTGGACGGGAACGACCCGGAAGACAGCACCGAGGACATCGACGCTGATCGACGCTAGTCGACGCTAAATCGACGCTAGGTCGACGCTAAATCGACGCTAACCGACTCTAAATCAGGGATATCTCACCGACTCCCAGGCGCTAATCGACGCTAATCGACGCTAAGGACGAAATCAAGAGGGTATACCAGGCTCCCATGATTTGCCACCGAAGGACGAGGAGCCTTGCCAAGAGAGAGAGAGAGAGAATGTCAGGCAGTCACATGTGCACACGTGAGTCCAAGAGGGCTACGACTTTGGAAGCGCACACCGGCAACAAAAGGACAACTAAACGGGAAATGGCACCGATAATGCATCAGACACTGGATTAGCTGGCACGGCACTGGTGCCTGCCGATGCCGTGAACGCCGATGATACAAAGACCATATGGGGCGGCAATGTCGGTCACGAAAACAATGCATTCTGCGAGAAGTAGGGACGAAGGGGATCCAATAACCATTTGCCCACACGACGACTGCGAAAGATTGGTAGGGAAGCACTCCGACAAGTGGCCATGAGTGCAGAGGCCGACGAGGCAGAGATCCAGACACTACCTTCTGCAGCGACGGAAATGCATGACAAGACGGACCAGAAGCCCATGCAGGAGACCATAGGTGCAGGGGAGGCCGACGAGGTGAACATCAAGAAGGACCAGCAGGGTGCGAAGCGTGTGGCCGACGACGTTGACAGTCCGACATCGTAGGCTGGCCCATCACCTCATCGCGGACCTCGAAAAGCTCTGTGGAAAAAGTCGCGCCATCGGGTCCGCGGGGCGTGTGAGGCGCTGGCAGGCGCCCTGGGGGGCCCGGCGAGCGCTGTTTCGGGCGAGGCGGTCTGGACTGACGGACTGCTGACGAGGCCCTCGCTTCTGCTCCCGCCCGAGTGCCGTGCCTGTGGCGGGCCGTGTTCCCCGCGCCACCCCTCGTTCGGTGCTCGCGGGCTCGGCCTAAAACGCTGTGGTGGCTCCACGTCTGAGTGCTGCGCGAGGCGTAGGGCTCGGTCGCGCTGGGCATCGCCCAGCTACCCCCTCTGAGAAGAAGCCCAGAGAAGGTCCCTTCTCCGCTCCCTCCCATCTTCCCAACCCCTCCCTTCTCCCCTCCCCATCCCCACCCTCCTCCCACCCCCTCCCCTCCACCCCCCCTCTGTTTCTCGTGACCCTCCTCCGCACCCCTCCCTCCTCCCCGTCCCCTCCTTCAACGCTCCTCCCCTTCGTCCAGGAAGACGAAGGCCGCGCCGGCAGGCCAGAACGGGGGCCTCCCGGCCAGAGGACCTCCCGGAAGCTAGACGACAGGATGGCAGGCGTGGTCGTCTGCCACTCCGGATACACGCCTGGCACCTGGGAGCGCTGGAGGAGGGGAGAGGCGAGAGAGGAGCACCCTCTCTCTCCTCCGGGAGGAGCAGGCCCCTGAGATCCTACGCTGCGAAAACAGCGCAACATCGCGACGCGTCAAGATCGGAGCCCTGGGCCACATCTGCCTGCGGCATTCTTCCCCGACCATCCTGTGGTGTTGGGTCCTCGTTTTGAAGAGACAGCGCCCCGCGTCTCCTCCTCCCCCTCCTCACTCCTCCCTCTCATTGCCTCTGTCTTCCGCATGTCTCTGGTCCGGCACACCCCGTACAGCGCTTCGTGGCCCCATAGGGAGCTCCACCGAAGGTCCCCATGGCGGAGCTCGCATGCGTCCCCCCCGCACAGTACAGCGCTTCGTGGCCCAAAAGGGAGCTCCACCGAAGGTCCCAGTGGCGGAACTCGCATGCGTCCCCCCATCCAGTACAGCGCTTCGTGGCCCCGTAGGGAGCTCCACCGAAGGTCCCAGTGGCGGAGCTCGCATGCGTCTCGTTCACCCAGTGCAGAGCTTCGTGGCCCCGTAGGAAACTCCACCGAAGGTCCCAGTGCTGGAACTCGCATGCGTTCCCCCCCGCCCAGTACAGCGCTTCGTGGCCCCGTAGGGAGCTCCACCGAAGGTCCCAGTGGCGGAGCTCGCATGCGTCCCCCCCGCACAGCACAGCGCTTCGTGGCCCCATAGGGAGCTCCACCGAAGGTCCCAGTGGCGGAACTCGCATGCGTCCCCTCCCCCCGGTACAGCGCTTCGTGCCCCGTAGGGAGCTCCACCGAAGGTCCCAGTGGCGGAGCTCGCATGCGTCTCGTTCACCCAGTACAGCGCTTCGTGGCCACATAGGGAGCTCCACCCCCGGGGAGGCTTGCGTTGTCGGCCCCGTAGGGAGCTCCACCGAAGGTCCCAGTGGCGGAGCTCGCATGCGTCTCGTTCACCCAGTACAGCGCTTCGTGGCCCCATAGGGAGCTCCACCGAAGGTCCCAGCGGCGGAACTCGCATGCGTCCCCTCCCCCCAGTACAGCGCTTCGTGGCCCCGTAGGGAGCTCCACCGAAGGTCCCGGTGGCGGAGCTCGCATGCGTCTCGTTCACCCAGTACAACGCTTCGTGGCCCCATAGGGAGCTCCACCGAAGGTCCCAGTGGCGGAACTCGCATGCATCCACTCCTCCCGGTACAGCGCTTCGTGGCCCCAAAGGGAGCTCCACCGAAGGTCCCAGTGGCGGAGCTCGCATGCGTCTCGTTCACCCAGTACAGCGCTTCATGGCCCCATAGGGAGCTCCACCGAAGGTCCCAGCGGCGGAACTCGCATGCGTTTTCCCCACCCAGTGCAGCGCTTCGTGGCACTGGAAGGTCCCAGTTGCGCAGCCCGCGTGCCTCCCCCACAGCCAGTACAGCGCTTCGTGGCCTCATAGGGAGCTCCACCGAAAGTCCCAGCGCCAGGGCCCGCATGCCATGCTTCGCGACCCCATAGGCAGTTCGACCTAAGGCCCCAGTGACAGTGCCGCTCCGCCGCTTTCGGCCAACTCCACACACGTGTTGTGGCTTCATAGGAGGTGATACCTAAAGCCCCATGTGCAGCGCCCGCATGGCGGCTCCGCCCCATTTCGGCGCGCCCTTCACACGCTTAGTGGCCCCACAAAGAGATCCTCCGAAGGCGATACTCACAATGACGGGACTCACACAGCATATGGTTGGGTCCTTCACCAAGATAAATTCAAGCTGGATCGATCCGTGATGGTCTTGGGCGTGAAACCTGGCGAAAACCTTCGCTGAGGAAAAAATGCAACGCCCACATCTCAGGGGAGGACGACGACGACGACGAGTGGGTAAGCCTGCTTCTTCCCCGATGAAATCAAGGAGTTCAGCTGCAAAGGTCCATAGGACTTATTTGCCCCGGTAGCCATTAGAGTTGAATCGAGTCGACCACCCTTGCTGGCCCCACCTGTACCGTGCCTCCAGCAAACCCAGTACGAGTATGGCTCGAAATCGACTTGCACTCATCCAGTAGGAGGCGGAGGAGGAGGAAGAGAAGAGTGGCAGGGGGCAGGAGGTGGGAAAGAATGGTGGGTCCCGACTCCCCCACACCCTACAGCAAGTTCGTGTCGTGACGACCCTGGCGTTGGCTTCTGACACGGCACAGATCTTTCGATCTTCAACGATCGCCGGTGTTCCGACCGCCAGAGCGTTCCGTAGTTCGTTCAATGTTGGCCGACTCCCTCCCCGGCGCCTGCAGCTCGCGGCAGGAGGCCCCGAGCAAAGCCAGCGCCTCGCGGGAGACTGCGCTGGCAGGCAGACGATGACGACGACGACGACGACGACGACGACGACGACGGCGACAACGACAACAGCAGCAACAACAACAACAACGACGACGACAACGAAAACGACAACCACAAGAATCACAACAACAACAACAACAACAACAACAACAACAACAACAACAACAACAACAACAACAACAACAACAATTACTAGCACGTGGGGACACTCCGTTCTCACCAGTGCCAGGGTTTTCATAGGAGGCGGGCAATACCCCCACTTTGTGGGGGGGCCGGTTCAAGCTCTACCAAATTTCCAAACGACTCTTCGCCACCACCCACACCCAGCTTCCCGCCCTATGACGTTCGGACACTTCACTTCGTGGCATGCGGACGACCGTGGCTACTATTCAGGGCCCCGCGGCCGACGACGACGGCGTGCGCGCGCGAAGAAAAAACGAATGTGTCCCGCATGGTATTATTTGACAGGGATGATGGCCCTGGCAGGTGCGCAACCGTTGTCGCAGAAGTTCGAAAAAGTTGCTCGCAAAAGCCCGTTTGACAGAAATGTTTAAAAAGTGTTGGGTTTCCTACGAATCCGCAAGAGCGCGCGGGATGAGATTTTGACATTTTTTTGTTGAAAAACCATTGGTTTTTTATGTTTTTATGTTAAAATCGCTACGAACACTAAGGTTTTGGAAGGATTTCGTCTTGCGCGCGCGAATGTCCACTTTACCTTATTTTTTGCAAGGGATTCTTGAAGTTTGGTTATGTTAGAACAAGAAATGTCCATTTTTAGCTGTTTTTTGCAAGGGAAAACGGGGGACAACAAAACAACCGGATCCGGACACCCTCGTTTTGCCTGAGACTTCCTCACGAAAATGATGAAAATGTGGCTGCGGCCTAGGCGCGGCGGGGGGGCCGCGCACCAGGGGCCCAACAATAATTATTCTTTAGAATAAATAATGTTCAACAACAACAACAACAACAACAACAACAACAACAACAACAACAACAACAATCATTTAGCACGTGGGGACACTCCGTTCTCACCAGTGCCAGGGTTTTCATAGGAGGCGGGCAATACCCCCACTTTGTGGGGGGGCCGGTTCAAGCTCTACCAAATTTCCAAACGACTCTTCGCCACCACCCACACCCAGCTTCCCGCCCTATGACGTTCGGACACTTCACTTCGTGGCCTGCGGACGACCTTGGCTACTACACTGGCGCATGGTTACAATGACTTCTTGTGGTAACATCTTGTGGAAACTAGCTTAGTATACGACTTATACCCCTGTTCCAACAATGGGCACGTGTACCGTTTTCCGACGTTTTAACGTTTCTGTACCACACAAGCCAAGACCCTTATTTTGACTTGTTGGATAACCATTGGTTTTTTTAGGATTCGGACAGCGCGCGCGGGTGGAAATTTTGAAAAGTCGTGCAGGTGTTTTTCGAGGACCTACGGTGCGATTCGTGTGATTTTATGATGCGCGGTGCTAAAATTCTTAAGAACCCAATGGTTTTTGGAGATTTCGGCGTGCGCGCGCGAAGAAAAAACGAATGTGTCCCGCATGGTATTATTTGACAGGGATGATGGCCCTGGCAGGTGCGCAACCGTTGTCGCAGAAGTTCGAAAAAGTTGCTCGCAAAAGCCCGTTTGACAGAAATGTTTAAAAAGTGTTGGGTTTCCTACGAATCCGCAAGAGCGCGCGGGATGAGATTTTGACATTTTTTTGTTGAAAAACCATTGGTTTTTTGATGTTTTTATGTTAAAATCGCTCCGAACACTAAGCTTTTGGAAGGATTTCGTCTTGCGCGCGCGAATGTCCACTTTACCTTATTTTTTGCAAGGGATTCTTGAAATTTGATTATATTAGAACAAGAAATGTCATTTTATAGTGTTTTTTGCAAGGGAAAACGGATTACAACAAAACAACCGGATCTGGATCACATCGTTTTACCTGAGGCTTCCTCACGAAAATGATGAAAATGTAGCTGCGGCCTAGGCGGCGCAGGGGGGGCGTGCACCAGGGGGCCCAACAATAATTATTCTTTAGAATAATAATGTTCAACAACAACAACAACAACAATTACTCTCCGTTCTCACCAGTGCCAGGGTTTTCATACGACGCCCGCCAATACCCCCACTTTGTGGGGGGGCCGGTTCAAGCTCTACCACATTTCCAAACGACTCTTCGCCACCACCCACACCCAGCTTCCCGCCCTATGACGTTCGGACACTTCACTTCGTGGCCTGCGGACGACCGTGGCTACTACACTGGCGCATGGGTACAGTGATTTGTTGTGGTAACATTTTCTGGACGCTAGCTTAGTATACGACTTTTCCCCCTGTTCCAACACTGGACACCTGTACTGGTACGCGCGCACGCGCGGCGGCCGCGCGCATGTGGCCCGCGCGACATTTTTTGCAAGGGATGGTGGCCCCTGGCAGGCGCGCGAACGCCATCGAACGAGTTCGACGTGCGCGCGAAAGTCGCCCGCGAAGCCCCGATGGACAGGAATGTTGAAAAACGAATAGTTTTTGAAAGATTCAGCGAGAGCGCGCGGGTGGATTTTCAGATTTTTTGGATGAGAAACTCGTACGTTTTCATATGTTTTATTGAAGTCGTAGCTTGAAATTGTTGAAATCACAGTGTGTTTGGCAGGATTTCGAGGTGCGCGCGCGGCGGCCGCGCGCATGTGCCCGCGTGTCATTTTTTGCAAGGGATGGTGGCCCTCGCAGGCGCGCAGACGTTGTTGAAGCAGTTCGAGGTGAGCGCAAAAGTTGCCCTCGAAGCCCCGTTTGATAGGAATGTTGAAAAACCATTGGTTTTGGAAGGATTCAGCATGCGCGCGGGGGCAGATTTTCGGAATTTTTGGATGAGAAAGTGGTGTGTTTTCATATGTTTTCTTGACATCGCATCTTGAAATTGTTGAAATCACAGTGTGTTTGGCAGGATTTCGAGGTGCGCGCGCGGCGGCCGCGCGCATGTGCCCCGCGTGTCATTTTTTGCAAGGGATGGTGGCCCTCGCAGGCGCGCAGACGTTGTTGAAGCAGTTCGAGGTGAGCGCAAAAGTTGCCCTCGAAGCCCCGTTTGATAGGAATGTTGAAAAACCATTGGTTTTGGAAGGATTCAGCATGCGCGCGGGGGCAGATTTTCAGAATTTTGATGAGAAAGTGGTGTGTTTTCATATGTTTCCTTGACATCGCATCTTGAAATTGTTGAAATCACAGTGTGTTTGGAAGGATTTCGACATGCGCGCGCGGCGGCCGCGGCGATGTGCACTTCGTGTCATTTTTTGCAATGGATTCTTGAAATGTGGTTATGTTAGAACAAGAAATGTCATTTTATATTGTTTTTTGCAAGGGAAAGCGGGGGGGAACAAAACAACCGGATCCGGACCAACCCGTTTTGCTGGAGACTTCCTCACGAAAATGATGACAACATGGCTGCGGCCTAGGCGCGGCGAGGGGGCCGTGCACCAGGGGCCCCAACAATAATTATTCTTTAGAAGTAAGAATGTTCAACAATAACAACAACAACAACAACAACAACAACAAAAACAACAACAACAACAACAGCAACAACAACAACAACAGCAACAACGACGACGACGACTATAACAGCAACAGCAACAACAACAGCAGCAACAACAACAGCAACGTCAAGAATAACAATTAGTTTAATACTGTTCGCTCTTATCTGCTCGCGGGCCATTCAACACGTATATCGCAAACCCTCAATACCCGCCCTCTTCGTCTTCGATCGTACCCCCTTAGGGGTATGTCTTTCTTGCCTGCAACGTGTAATTATTGCAGCCCCCAAAGCAGGGGAAGAGAGGACGGATGGAAGGGACAAGGGAGAAGGAGGAGGATGGAGCATGAGAGAGATTAGCAGGAGGGGGGCTCGGAGCAGAAAACACATGGCAGAACCAGACGGGCAGATCGGGCGGGCAGACCCTAATCGGCGGGTCGGGAAGGCGGGCCCAGTTGCTGAAGCGTGCGCCCTGCATGAATCGCGAGGATGTCTCGAGCGACAGCGCGACTCCCAAATAATTCGTGAGGAACTCCACAGCGAAAGCGTGATTCCTGAGTGTCGAGGGCGCGGCGTCTGAATAAATGGGGAGAAGTCCTACGCGAGAGCGCGATTCCTGTTTAACTTGTAAGGAATTCCCGCGCGACAGCGCGATTTGGGAATAAATTGTGAGGAGGTATCAGGCGGGAGCCGTTGTTATTGTAGTTCGGGGGCCACGGCCCAGTCTAATGGTGCGAGCCCCGAGAGGGCAATTTAAAAATACTATGTGCGCTGGCGAGGGGGGACCAACAATAGTTGTTTCTCAACAACAACAATCAGTTTAATACTGTTCGCTCTTATCTGCTCGCGGGCCATTCAACACGTATATCGCAAACCCTCAATACCCGCCCTCTTCGTATTCGATCGTACCCCCTCTGGAAGTACAAATATCTCTTATCTGCAACGTGCAATTCGTGCAGCCCCTGAGGCAGAGGAAAAAAGGACGGATGGAACGAACGGACAAAAGCGAGGGAGGAGGATGGAGAACGACAGAGGTTACCAGGAGTGGGCTAGCAAAAAACACGTGGCAGAACCAGACGGGCAGATCGGGCGGGCAGACCCTAACCGGCGGGTCGGGAAGGCGGGCCCAGGCGGCCAGGTCGAGCAGGCGGGTTGCTGAAGCGTGCGTCCTGCATGAATCGCGAGAGCGTCTCGAGCGATAGCGCGATTCTCAAATAAGTCATCCGAAAATCCAAAGCAAGAGATTCCGGAGTGTCGAGGGCGCGGCGTCTGAATGAAAGGCGAGGAAGTCCCACGCAAAAACGCGACTCCTGTATAAATTGTTTTCTTGTTAAAAACCCGCGCTAGAACACGATCCTGAAATACACTGTGAGGAAATATCAGGCGGGAGCCACTGTTGTTGCAAACTGGGGCCCAACAGCGCAGTTTGGTGACCCCTCGTTTTCCATTGTCAAAAACAGGGTGCGAGC